ACTTCAGACGTTTGTCTGGAATTTCTGGATATTTCAGAGTCTGGTCAAAGCAGCAGCTCCTATTTCCAGCCATCTCGTGTCTCAGACACAGTCATCAAGAGTGCATCTGTGTTGTGCATGTGTGTAGATTTCTGTCCCAGGAAGGTCTGGATGGAGATCTGGGAACCGGTGCTAGATCATCAACTGGTGACCTCCTGAAGGTGTCTGTGCTCCCAGAACCTCGGGACTTGCCTTCCCTGGGCTTCCCTAGCACAGCCAGGAGGATCCCCTGCTGAAGCCAGACTCTCTCAGGTGATATTTCGGTCGCGATTAGATCCCATGGTCCGTGAAGCAGATGGGTCAGGTGCTGCAGACTGTGCAACTGATTGGAATCTGAAGAATTTGGGCTAATATTTACATCAGGTGTTTGCCCTGTGATAAGAAACAGGTCGTTCACAAAAATGAACATGACATAATATTGGTAGGTTGGTCACGGTGTTTGCTTCGCATTTCACACACTCACCGTTCTTGTTGCCTGGAGAACAGTTGCATATTGTAGTTTGTTACAGATTAATAGCTGCATTTCCCCCTTTATTTCCATGGAGGTTGGTTGTTTTTTTTATTTTCCAAAAAGGGCAGTTTTACAGAAATAGGTCTCTGAAGTTTTCCGCATGCCAGCGGGTTAGCAGGGTGCTGCCTTTGCCTCTGCAGTGTTTTGGAGGAAAATTTCCACTTGGTTTTCCAAAGTTACAATTCCTCACCCACAATAGCCCCGGTCTCAAAAGCAGGTTTGAACTCTGCTTGTGTTTATGAAGGAAAGTGCTCATTCTTGCTTCTCTGATGGAAAGATTGTGTTGGTAAACTTTAATGGAACTGCCCAGGTATGCAAACGTAGTGCGTGGCTGGGGGCAGTCCCAGGGGCTGTTTTTCCTGCATTGCTGAGGGTAAATCAGAGCCTTAATAAAGAAAACACCCGTGTTTCAGATGGGTGGCACTTTGGGCAAGCACTGTATGCAACTGCAGGTGAGTTATGGATTAATTAGCAGCACCTAATACAATCTAAATGAGGTGAAACAAGAACAAACTGTAAGTAGAAGAAACTTTGCCCTTAAAAGACGGGTGACTTGTTAATTGGCTGCAGTCTGGAGTTGGTGATTCCTCTCTGTACAGAGTTAATTTGCCAGAGACATGAGGCTTTGACCTACTGAGCTGGTTGCAAGGAATTTGAGATTGTGCAACACAAACCACCTTTCCCTAGAATTAAGAGGTTGAGGTGGTGACTGGTATTTTAACAACAGTCGGTGTGGGGCTGGGGACATTAGTGGGACCTGGACCTGCACTGACTGCTCGGGGACCGTATTTGATAAGGTGTGGGTGAAGAAGGAATTTTAATGGGCAGTGCTGGTACCTGAGCTGAGGAAACATACGGGATGGGCAGAAACAATGTGGATTTCCTGCCTTGCCACTACTAATTTGTTTTTCTTATTATGGTGAACACTTGGAACAAATGTTTTTTGAGCTACAAGACATCATTATCCTAGCCCAGAGACAGCCCAGCATCCTGTGTCATCTGGGTCTTGTTCTCCCTCGGCCACCAGCCCCGTGGGGAAGCATTAGACAAGTCCCATTCCCTCCAGAGACCCTGTTTCTCTTTCACACCTTTGTTTGTAGACAAGTCCCATTCCCTCCAGAGACCCTGGTTCTCTTTCACACCTTTGTTTGTCTCTCTCTCTGTTTGTCAGATCTATAAAGCAAAGAGCATGTGCTTTATGTTTGCAAATGGCTTTGCATAGAGAGCTGTGCTCTGTGTAGGGTTTTCTGGGCAGTATTGGAGTAAATATAATAAATGAACTGGAGTCAAGTTAGGTGTGTGGGTGTTTGTTTTTTTTTTTTTTTTGAAAAAACCCAACCAACCAAAACCCTTTGGATCTTAACAGGTTGTCAGTGGCTTTATTTCTTCCTTGGGCATGGAACAACACACTGTTAATACATTTCCCTTCATCTTCTGGTGTTCTTGGTTCTGATATGCTTTTAATTTAATGTTTTTCTTTTTTGCTTTCTGAGGTTTACAATGAAAATATTGCGAGCCTGTCTGGAATGTGCCCGTTGCATTGCAGCCTTTGCAGGGCATTTCTAAGACCCAGAGACAATGTAGTGGGTGAGGGTTTCTCCACCACCTACCAGCTGAGGAGAACAATAACATCATTGTTAACAAGAGTTGAGTTTTAAGTACATTAATGTTTTTCTTTTCCGTGTGAAAGGGAAGGCGGTTTTCACATAGTTCTTTAAACACACTGAGATTAACAATTCTGCTTCCAGGGTTTGGGAGACGTCTTCCCCAAAAGAAACATGTTAGGTTTCCCCTAAGATATGTTTCATTATCATAATATTTAAATTTTAACAGAGACTTCTGGAGGAGAGTCTATTACTGTTCCTGAGTATATTACTTCAGTTCTTATCATTTTTCTGTCACTTCAAGGTTGAAATTGCAACTTGGTCTTCAGCGAAACAGATAAGCAAAATGTGAGTCATGGCAAGAGTGGGACCAGAGGGCATCCAACGAGGTGGGGAGAAGTCCCCTTGCCTGTCTGGCACTTCTCTGTGGAGCAGAAGGAAAGGCCACAGGACACTTGGGACAGGTGACGGGAGAGATGGCACTGGAGGAGGGGATGTCCTATGAGCTGCACTGTCCTCCTGCAAACAGGACCTCCGCACTTGCTGCTGCTGTTTCCAAGGCAGACATTCTTACCTCAGTCTTCTAAGATATTGAAATTTTATTTCCTGTTATTTCTGGCATCATCATAAAAACCTGAGACAAAAGATCTTGAGTATGTTGCCGGCCTGACTGTAAATCACAAAGAGGTAGCTTGAAATAATAAGGAAAAAGAGATCTTGGGAAACGCTGGTACAGGAAACCAAGAGGTTACTCTCATTGATATACATAAACCAAAGTACAACTGTTATTTAAATTCTACACATAGCTGAGAAAAGTTAGAGCCAAATTCTCGTCGTAAATCAGGGTGGCTCCATTAACTTGGGTGGAACGGTGCCAGCACATCCCAGACAAAGACTTGGCTCTGGCTATTAATAGCAGCAGTGGAGTAATGGAGCTGCTTGGAGAAGTTCCACTGGAAGAAAAATTTGATTAAAAAAACGGAGATAAGATTGACAGAGGAATCTGCCTCCTGGTTCTCTCGTGGAACGTGGCTCCCAAGGGGGTTTGGTCCTGTGGGACCCACCACCTCCAGAAACCACCAGCCTTGGACAGTCTGTTTCGGTGCTGTGACAGTGGTGTGGCAGCAACTGTGGTACCGTCTGGTCCTGCGTTCAGTGTCAGTGTGGTCATTCCTTCAGCTGCTTCTCTTTCTCTGTAGCTTCAGAAAATCCAAGGTTTTCCTTTCACCAGGTATCTAAACTTTTTATTTCTTTAAATTCTTCAATACACGGTGGTGAAAAGGGTGGGGAATGTCGTCATCAGCTGCTGATGCTTCACGTTTCCTGTGTGACCCTGTTATTCGGGGACAGACAATTAAATTTCACAGCTGCATTTTAGATCATCTCTAAAGAGAGAGAGAGCTTCTCCAGGCGTCCTTGAGTCAGTTTCTTACTGAAATATCAAAAAAAACTCCAGCAGAAATTCCCACTGTGCAGCGTTATGGTATTTTCATTTCCCAGAAACTAGTTAATTTATTTACTGTGCCCCACCAGTCCAAGTTCCCTTCATAGATTAACTTGTGTATTTTGGCTCCTGTCCACCTCTTCCTTTGGCTCAAAGTGAATGATACCAGGACTGTCTTTGAAACGAGACAGGAATGTGAAGTTTTTTGATTAAACAGCAACATCACCCCCGAAACCTCTCTCTGCCAGCTTTATGAGGCCCCGCTGCAGAGGCACGGTACTGGGAATGACAGATTAAAGGTCTGGCAAGTTCAGCCTCTTTGAAGAAAACAGACATGTAATATTCTGGTAGGGCTTGGAAACGGTTTGCATCTCCTCAGAAGGTGTGTCTTGTGGAGCAGTTTGCCACCAAAGGTTTTCAAGACTGTTTGTTGGCTTCCTTTTAATAACTCATCAGTCTTTAGAACTCATGTAAATGAGAATTACTAAATCAGGTCTCTGGCTAGTACCTGCCTGCCGTGCCAGGCTCAGGCTGTTATGAGGGTCTCGTACTGGCTGTGAGCATCTCGGGGGGCTTTGCAGCTGGCAGAGGTGGTGGAGAGGGTCACACTGGTAGAGTTGTGACCACCTCCTGCATGTCTTCTGTTGGCCTGTCATTGGGCTGCTGGAAGGGATCTCATTTGTTAAACTAAACCTGCACAGACCGTGTGTTACAGTCAGAGTAAACGTCAAGTGCAGATAATAAACATGGGCTGTTCTCCAGACTCTACAAAAATAATGTGTTTGTTGATGTGAACTCTAAGCTGGTATTTTTCTAGTACATTTGGTGTGTTTGCAGAGGGGTTCTTAGCATCAGCCATAAAAATATTTGGCTGTCTTCTAAAATCTGTGATTTGTTACTGACAGCAGAATCTCTTATTGAGATACTCACTCTGTCAGTCTCTCGTCAAGACACTTTCTATAAAGCCTCTGGGAAAGGTTTTCCAATAAGTGCATTTTTGAGCACGGATGGAAATGGCACGGAAGCTCACTTAAGCTGAGCTGGGTGTTTCAACCTCTGAGGTTTATTCCTAGGCAGCTTCAGAAACTAGTTTTGATTCTGGCCCTTGATATTTTGCCATCATAATGAGAGAGTGTCTTCTAATTATATGTATAGTCTTTTAGGTATAATGAAGATCTAGAGAACTCGTGTTATTAGAGACCTAGTTGCTCTGTTTGTGATGGAGGAAATGATCACTCCAAGGTTCTGATAATTACTGAAGCCAGAAATTTACTTCTAGCAACACTAAATACTATTTTCAAGTTCTCATCCTGAGCATGTGTGTGATGCTTGTTGTCTGATCTCCTCAGGTGCAATCAGAATCCTCCTGCTGAGTCTTTTTCACGTTTATCTTTCTTTTTAGGATCCCCTGGATATTACTGGAATGTGACTACAAGGAAAAACGTGCTTTTCTAACAACTCAGTTGTGGACGTCTAACCAGACTTTGGTTTCTGGGAATGCTACACCATGGCTTCATCAGGGAATGAGATAGAAAGATGGACTCACAAGCAAGGTGGCAGAATTGGAGAGCTGGTAGAAGCTTTCATCTCTCCTGAAAATGGTAATGGTCTTTCAGCAGTGAAGTCGATGAGCAGCATGGACCATCTCCTGCACCTCCCTGGAAGAGCAGACTCTGCTTACAGCTCTTTCTCAGGAGGATCAAATGTTCCAGAGTATCCCACCCCATCGTGCTGTGGTGAAAACTGCTGTTTGCCTCCAGAGCAGGTGTCGTACATGGACTCAGTGTATGTAAAGGGGATTTATAATCTCAGTGCAGCCAACTCTGACCTCAGGGGTCTGAATCCGTACAAGGCACTGGACCTGAGCATCCACAATAACTCTCAGAGCACCAGCCTCGTGGACCGCTGTGGGAGCACTCCTACCCGAGGGACTTGGAATCGGGGAGCGCTGCCTCTGGCTGCACCTCTGCCTTCTCCTCCCACCAGGCTGGACAGCTATCAAGTCACCAGACACCTTGAAAACTCGAGAGGGAGACACAGCTCTGGTGGTCACGGAGAGAGGGGTGGGCAGCCAGCTCCTTCCCTGCAGGACAATGGACTCCCGGGTGGGGATGTGCTGTGGAGTCAACACAGGGATGGAATTACCGAGCAAGATACAGCGGCTGCTGGGAGAAAAACTCTGGAAAACAAAGGTCTGTCGTCTTCTGATTCTACAAGTGAGGTATCTATATCAAAAATTCAGGGGTCAAAGATGGAGGAAAATGGTGAGTGGAGCCCACCCCAACAGCCTATAAAGAGAAACAATCCACACATTTTTAGCAGACCTTCTTCGTTCATTTTTCAAGAGTATTTAAAGACTGACTCTTTGGCGAATGTCCCTAAAATACTTTCTGCTTATAATTCTGCTTATGAAATTCCTGAAGAGATGAGCTCCCAGTCCCACCACCCGGTGCGTGCCAGCCCCAGCCCTGCTGATGGCACAGCAGACAGACAGTGTCCCTGTGGTGGCCGTAGGGCAGCTCTCAGGGAAGCAGGTCCCCAAAACATGAGGCCAGAGCCCAGCCACCGTAAAGGATCCCTGCCCTGCGCTCGGTGCCTGCTCCACGGGGAGCTGCATTCGGACTTGGATCAGGATGTGTTTGAGGATGGTTGTGAGTTAAAATACACAGACAACGCTCTTCTAATTAAAAATGCTTCCAGGAAGCTGAACAGTTGTACAGATGCAAATCAGTGTGTCGACTCTGAAGGAAAAATTGGGAGGGATATTAAGGAACCGATCCGGAATCTGCAAACCAGAATGCAGAGATCATCCCTGCCCTGCAGCCACGGCACCGCGGAAGCACAGCACCCTCCCTGGCAGGGCTCAGATCAGGGAAACAGGCAATGCTATGACAATTCTGACCAAATGTCTTATTTCAGACCAAAGGAAGATTCCACATCTCGGCTTTCACATGAAGTCAAGAAAGAAAAACAGGCTGCTAACAGCAGTCCTGACCTTCACGTGCACCTAGAACAAAAGGAACCTCCTGTTCCTTATCACAAATACCAACCTGAATTTCAAACACCACTCTTAAGGCAGCTTCAGGATGATCTTGGTGGTGAACAAATAACCAGGCAGACGACTCCCATGCTTTACTACCTTTCTGGGGGGAAAACCACCAACATCCCGCTCCACAACAAGCTCACCCGAGGTCAGGAGGACTCGAGGAGCTCGCCAAAGGAATTCCCAGCAAGCAGCTACTCTGCCTCAGCACGGTGTCTGGAGATACAGAGGGAAAGCAATCACCTCCAGAGGACCAAGCACCACCCTCAGTACAGTGCTGATGATCTCCTGCTGGAGGCTGAAGATCTCCTTCTCGGGAGTCCTGCTTCATCCCTGGAGGAGAGTTTCCAGAACGACTATAGAGAGAAACTTAAAGTGGCTCAGAAAAAGGTTCTGCGAGAAACCTCCTTTAAAAGAAAAGACTTACAGATGAGTTTGCCCGTTAGACTGAGACAGAAACCCTCTAAAAGGCCTTCAATTGAACACCTTCGGTCTTTCTCGTTATCCAGTACAAATGACAATGCCAAACCTGTTCCTTGTTCCCCTTCTCACCTAAAGTCCCCAGAAAGTTGCAATCAAGATGAAGAAATGAAGAGGCCACAAATGGGTCGAATAGGGGGAAGGAAGAGGGTAAGCAAAGAGCAAAAGAAGCTGTGTTACTCTGAACCTGAGAAACTGGATCAGCTGGCAGACAAGGAGGTACTGTGGAATCAAGGCAGGGATGAAATTGCTGAGCAAGATGCAGCTGGGAAGAAGGCTCTGGAGAACAGAGGGAGGGCACTTTCCAGTTCCAGTATTTCCAGGACGGAGCTGAAACAAATCCAGCACATTGCACTTATGGAGTACATGGAGAGAAAGATTAATCAGAGGCCAGGTAGTTCCCAACACCTCCCGCTGCATAAGCCACCCCTGCAGAAGAGACCGTCACATCCCAAGTGGCCTCCTGGCAAGGTTCCTAATCCAAACGGGAGCAGGAAGGTGCAAACCACTGAGGTTTTCTGCCAAGTTTCCTCTAAAGAGAAATCACCAGGTGTTTCTCCTCCTTTGGCTTTTGTTCCCCCACCAAGTGGGAGCAGCGGGAGCCATCCTGGCTCTGCTGCTGTGGGAACAGCCACGTCGAAGCACGATCCATCTCCTGGGGAAGCAGCCAGGAGCTGCACCAGCAACTGTGCATCAGCAGAAAGTCTCCTGCAGGCGGGTGATCCCATGTCCGGGAGAGCTCGTGAGAGGTCAAAATCGACTCCTTCTTCCACACAGGTAAGAAAGATGCGAAAATAGTAATAAGCATTTGAGCCCAACTGAGGAATGTCTGCCTGGTTTAGGGAACTGTGGGACTATGCACATGGGAAAAACTGCTGAACATCACAAATGAGGAATTAGGACTTGATTTATCTTTATTGTGTTTAGCATGCAGCAGAGAGATGAGAGATGGGGAGAAGCTGCATTTGCTTAATCTGGAGGAAATCCTGCGTAGCTGTTGGAAAGCAAAATGCAGGCTGTGCTTTGCAGCGTGCAGGAGAAACTGTTTGGGGGGGTTTTGGGAGAAGTGCTACCAATTTTCACACATTAAATACTTATGATTAATGATAATCATTCATTATTCTCAAAAGTATTTTGTAAGAAAGCATTGCAGGCAAACAAGGTGTCTTTAGTGTGAAAAGTTACAAGAGAATTGGATAAGGGTGGAAATTTCACAGCAGCCGAGTGAAATGGGCAGTTCCTTGTCACTGCTCAGCAAGGGCACAGGGACAGGAGGGTCTCCTTCTCCTGTGTGAGGGCCATGGGCTCTGCTCGAGGCCAGGACAATGTCGGACTGGAGAGGGTCCCCTGGGGGCTACAGAGGGGTGTGGGGGGGTCTGGCACTCAGGAGACACGTCTGCAGAGAACACGTGCTGTGAGCAGGAGGTTTTTGTTCCAGCAGTCACTTCGTTAGAGCACTGTCCCAGAAAAGGTAATGAGAGAGATTTTTATCAATGACCAACCTTTTTGGCTCCTGAATTTGAAGGACAGCGGCTGTCAATATTGTTGTCAAAGAGAATAAAGAAGATGAAAGGGTCAGAAAACAAATAATCTAATATACTACTAAAATTACCCAACTGAAGTGACTGCCAAATTTCTGAATTGTTGGGGGAGTCAGTGAGGGTATGTATTTTGTTGCCAGCTGTCCTTTGGTTTTCTAGGACAAAGAGGCAGGTGCTACCTAGAGAGCAGAGTAACAATTTCATCAATAAAAAGAGACAGACAAACTCAGAAGTGAAACCTTGGTGTACTTGCTCGGAGACTTACTGTTGGCCTCTGTTTCTGGGGATAACAAGCAGAGGGGTAAAATGAAGCCTAGCCTGGAAAAGCTGGTTGTCCCAATGTGCTGTTTTAATTTCCAGGACCCTTGCAGATGTTCCAGTGCTGTGGTGGCACCAACTCAGCCTTGTGAGAGCTGCCTCGACACCCCCAGGTAAGGGCAGAGTAGAGCCCGTGTCCGAGGTGTGTGACCTCCAGCGGCAGCCAAGTCCATCTGCTGCTGTCCTTCTGTCCTGGGATCCTTTGCCCACATGGGAGTATTAATCCATTGTGCTATTTGTCTCATTTTGGGACAGTCTTTAAAATAATTCCTGCAGTCTGGAGCAGACGTGGAACTGCAGAGTGTGCCCGAGCTGCTCTCCCTGCTCTGCCGCGCTCCTTCACATCCCCGAGATCGCAGCTCCCTCCTCTGAGCTCCGGCAAAAACGGCGTCTGCAGCAGCTCCCGTCTGCCAGTCTTGAAAAATACGGTGTAACAGGGGATTTTGGAGTGTTTCTTTAAAGGAAAAAAAAAAATAGCTAAGTAGCAAATTTGTGTGTTGAATCTCCAGATCTGTTCTGCTTGTTTGAGGAGCGTCAGGGGAGAAAAAGATCTCAGCTCTGTCTCACCAAGGTGGTGATGCTGACACTTGGTTGTAATAGAATTTTCACTGCTTCAGTCATTCAAAAAGTTCCCAATGCCTTCTGGAGGCTTGATTATATTAGGAAAAAGAATATATTTTTGATTTGATTTTGAAGCTTTTCTTAAATTTCCTAGTTTATTTAAATAAAGAGGCTCAGCAGGTCAGCATGAGTCACTGGAAGTTCTGGACAAAACGGTAACATCAGAAGCACATTTGATTATAGCTCTAATATGTACTAAGTAATGAGAAAATGACAAATCCAGAACTCATTTCATTAGTAACTAAGTTAGATGATTGTCTTTGGGAAATAGCTGGAAGTAAAGGTTTCATTCTGTAACAGCTGTCTCTTCTTTTTCCTCTCTGGTCTCCTCCAGCAGACAGTGCTGTTGAGCTGCAGTAGAACACCCAGGCTAGACTGGGCACGTTTGCAGTGTTAATTACTCAAATAAAAAGTCCAGCTGGGACTAGCAGGAAGAGCAAGCTGTGATCATTACCCACCCTGATAGTGTCTGTGGGTTAGTGAAAAAAATCCTTGAGGACATTCTTATGCATATTTTGCATCCATTCAGTTGCACAGGATGGATTTTAGGTAGTTTCCACTGATATTACCCATTTTCCATGACAACCTGCACAATATTGCATCCTCATCACACTAATTTAGGTATCGCGGTCCAGCAGCACAGTGCGGTGCCCTGGTGTTTGGCAGGGGTTATTTCTAGCACTTTTGATGGAAAGGCTTTTCCACCAATAAGCACATCACTAAATCACCAGAACCAGGCACTTCCAAGTCAAGCTCAAATGAGTGTTTTATTTTTCAATTGCAGTGAAAAGGTGCACACAATAGATATCTCTAAGTGACATCGTTAATCATTATCTTGTACGAACTATGATTAAATTTCCCTTTGCCAAGCTGACTTCATTTTGTGATGAAAAGCTAAACTGACTGTGTTAAAGCTGCAAAGTAGAGCTGGAAGAAGGGAAACTATGAGAGACGATGGAATTTGAGAAATAGCAGGACTTGCTGAGCCACAGCATGGCTCTGTTTGGCCACATGAAAAGCTTGGGCTGGGTAAGCCCCGCTCAGCTGCGCCCCATCCCTGCTCTCCATCCATGTCTGCACTAGGAAACCTGCCCAGGTGAGCAGTGCCTGGAGATGGTGTGGGCTCGTGGCATTAAGCAGAACAGTCCAAGGACGTGGAAGTTTTCCTAGCACAACAGTCTGCTGGTATTTTCTTAAATCTTGAAACTCTTCTCTGTGTGTGTGTGTCTTCTCTGGGGCAACAGGCACTCTCCTCTGCTGGCACTAAGTCTCTCCATAGCTCTCCGCTGCCCTGCTCTCTGTCAGGAGAATAAAATCCCCCTCTTCATATCCCACCCTGTCCATAGAGATGGGCTTAATTAGTTCCTTTAGTGGTGGGCAGGACCCATGGCTATGTTGCCTTTATCTGGGACCTTAGAGTGAAACAAAGGGGGACAAACCCTCTGTGCGTCTTTTGAGGGAGAAGATTCTTGCTTTGTGCCTACAACATGCTCATGTCAATTTAACGTAGTTAAATCAGGGCTTATAAATCTTCCTTCCATCTAATCCCTCCAGCTTTCCTCTCTATTATCCCCTCATAATCCTGTTAAGTTATAAAAAAATTTTGCTAGAGGCAAAAATAGGTTTTTTTCATTCAGTCATGATTAATACAGTGGTATTGAAATACAGAGAAGCACTATTTTCACAAGCAGTTTGTGGCTGTGTACACGTACAGCAGTGATTGCAGAAGATCTAGACACGCTCCAATCAGAGATTCCCGAAGATCTACACATACTCCAATCATCTTGTGTTCACCATTGCCCCTATATTCTTGCAAATTCTGGTCCATAGTGTGTTTTTAAGTTACATATATCTACTTATCATGTCATCATGAATGTAATTATTTATGCCCTGCAGACAGTGGCTTTTTCCATCAAAGTTTCTTCTGAGGTGTTTCATGAGAAAACTCAAAGTACAGGTCAGACGTGCATTGGCCAACTCAAAAGTAGAAGTTTGGTCTCAAAATGGTTAACTGAAAGGATTTAATAAAACTTTTACTTATGTCCAATGGCCTTTTCAAAACCAACGCCTAGATGAAGAGAGTTTCCTCTGTGTGGGTGTTCAGTTCCCCTAAATAGAAGGAAGCCCTTGGTGTCATCTCTAAAAAGGACTGAGAATTGATGCACAGAAGATGGTGATGGTGTAAACCAGTTCTCAGTCTTGGGCTGAAACTTGCTCTAGAAATAAGAAGGTGTAAGGAGCAAGACAGCAAAGATTTGCCCTTTTGCTGTACAGCCACTGTGTTACAGGAGGGTGGTGGAGGGAAACACGAAGTTCAGATCCTTCTTTTACTGCCAGGTGGTGCCAGAAGTGGCCTCAGAAAGGTCTCCGTGAGCCCTGGTCCCCATAAGTGCCCAGTCCTGTGGGCAGTGTGCTGCCAGGGCTGGGGAGGGGCTGTGTGCTTCTCATCCAGTTATCCACTTGACATTTTAGGGCACTTTTTACTGTGGGTTTATTTCAGAAAACATATGTGTTGGTCATAATTAGAAAAATAAGAAGTTTAATGGGGATTCAGGCAATGCAGACTGGTGCAGCTAGGCATTTTATATATTCCCTTTTTTTCCCCACGCAAAATTAATAGGTATTATGGAATCTGAATTTCAAAACCTTTCATAAAAAGAAGAAGCTGGAAAGATAATGACAATTACCTGCAGCTGCTTAAACATTTGTAGAGGAAGTGTTTGAAACCAAAGGAAGTGTCTTCTTTCTTATAGTTTCCGTGATCCTGAGAAAGGTGGCTGTGAGGATCCTGAGTGCAAAGACCATGCCAGCACTGGAGGTGTGAGCTGTCGGGGTACGAAGGAGCTGACTCCTGAAGCCTCTGTTCCTGTCCCCAGAAGCGATGGCGAGGAAGATGCTCGGGTGGAGGAGGAGGAATCTGGAACAAAATCTCCAAACAGCAATGCTTTAATAAAGTGCTCGGACCAGCAGCCTGTACCTCCTCTGGAGCAAGGGGACAAAGACACGGGCAAGGGTTTAGTCACACAGGACACACCTGTACACCACAGCCAAGGTGACATTGTCCCCAAGAGAGGGACAGATCTGCCCCAGAGGAGACTGCAGTCCCCTGAAGACCAGCGGTACGAGGCGCTTGCTCTGGAGATCATTGCCAAGGACAGTTCTCTGGTTGATGTTCTCCTGCCTCATCCCGTTAGAAAAACTGCTCTAGACCTGATGGAGGGTCTGTTTCCTGTTAATGTTTCTGTGCTGGATAAATCACACCGAAAAAGGGGAGACGTACAGCCTGTGCAGGAGGATGAGTAAGTAGACAAAACCAATTATCTAGTATTTTAAGTTATTTTAGTGTAGAAATACTGCGTATGTGTTAGTAGTGAGATGACTCAAGCATTTATTGTTTTTCTTTCTGTTTCATTAGCAAAATATTTTAGCTTTCTGATTTCATGTATCTGAGGCTGTGGGTATAGGACAGAAGAAATGTGGTTTGATGATACCTTTATAAAAGGGACTGTGACAAAGCTGGGCTGCAAATTTTTTGCTCTGTATCTCTCAAAAAAATTAGAAAAAATGCTGCTGTGAGAAGTGAGGAGAGTAATTCTGAAGTCAAGATGGATAAAACCACGAACTCCACAAAGTTTGAGAATGAATCTCTGTTTGCCACTGGTGTTTATTTTCTCTTCTAGTAGCAGGAAAAGCAGTAAAGATGCAACAGAAGAATGTCCTGAATCTGAACACGATGCCAAGCAAAGGAGTGAAGATCCCACCTCTAAGGGAAACCAAGTCCCAGACAGGAACAGAGATGGCTCAAGCGACCTAGATGACATCACCTCTAAGAAAGTAGGTAGATGAACATCAGAGGAACAGGGGTTTCTTCACCATGGCAAAGAAGTTACTACCATCACATATTACTGTGGATATTTATTCATTGCTTTTACCCCAGTAATAACTTTGAGTCCAAGTTACTACCATCACATATTACTGTGGATATCCATTATTCATTGCTTTTACCCCAATAATAACTTTGAGTCCGTTTTTCCTGATAGGTGAACTCCTGCCAAATTGGGATATTGATGATAAATGGTGACATTTAAGTCCTGCCTGGTTTGATTCGGGTCTCTCCTCCCACCTCCTTCTCCTCAGCAGGTCCTTGGGGCTGGGTTGGATCTGGAATGAGCACACGTGATTCGGGTCTCTCCTCCCACCTCCTTCTCTTCAGCAGGTCCTGGGGCTGGGTTGGATCTGGAATGAGCGCACAGAGTTGACTCTGCATTTCTGTGCAAGGCCAGCTCCTGCACAGCAGCTGACTCACCATTTAGCACTCAAATCTGGCCTCAAAATCTGTAAAATTCATTACAACTGGCAGCCTAAATAAGAAGTATTTTTTTCCTGAGAGAACTGGCAGCAGCTTCTGCACACTGCAGTGCCCTAGTGATTTCCACATGAGCCAGGGATGGAGGTAGCTTGGAGATAGCTGGGCTGGGACAGAAACACGGCAGCTTGGAAGGGAAATGTGTAGGAGAATTAGATACCTTTTTTTTTTCCTGTAGGAACCTGGCCATGCTCCATCCCAGGTAATGACAATCTGCCTCCTGAAGCTCCTCTCGATGTGCCACGTGGTGATGTTTTTGGGTGTTTTTGGTACCCACTGTCTGGCTGCTGCTCCTCTTCATGGTGGCATTGGCTGATTTCAAAAAAAAGCTGAGGGGGTTCTTCTCCCTCTCTGGTCTTGGTGCCTTTTTCCATACCAACATTTCCATATCAAACTGCTTCGCTCCACAAGCGCTGAGGCTTGTTTGAATCACCCCTGGAACGGACTTTTTCTGTTAATATTATAAATGACGTTGCAGTCAGTTCTTGTAAAGCTTGGTGATAGAGCTGTGACTCCGTGCTCATGTCTTGGAGCGTAACCCTGTGTAATCATGTTGTAATCTTCATTGCAGTTCACTTCTGACTGATTGGAAGCTCTCTCTGAGCTGGGGATTATATCACTAGTTAAGGCGATTACCAGTAATTTGCTTTTCTAGAGTTTGAGAATTAAGTACAGCTTAGAAAATCTTTCTTTTTTTTCCTTTTTTCTTTCCCAGAGCTTGAAATTATTTTAAAAGTCCAGAATTTGGAGAAGACAACGTGAGGAAACGCCGTTCTTTAGAAATTATATGGATTCTCTTGGGCAATAACAGCTTTCTATATTATTTTTTTTTTTTCCTTTTGCAGCTGGAGCTCATCTCCAGCCTTCGGTCGAAGCTGGGGACGCTGTGGGAGGAGAGGGAGCTCGTCCTGTCGGAAGCCCGTGCGTGCGCGGGCCGAGGCGAGGAGCTGGAGGCCGTGGTGCGGGAGCTCTGCAAACCCAACGAGTTTGAGCGTTACCTGATGTTCATCGGGGACCTGGAGAAGGTGGTGAGCCTCTTGCTCTGCCTGTCCAGCCGCCTCGCCCGCGTCCAGAACGCCATGAGGAGGATCGATGGCAACACAGATGCTGAGGAGAAGGTGAGCGACGAGCCAGCGGGGTATTTAATTTGGTTTGTTCACTTCTTTCCAGGTGGGGCTGGGCTCACCTCGTTTGTCTGACAGCACTAAACAAAAGGTGTAAATTGGGGTATTTAATTTGGTTTGTTCACTTCTTTCCAGGTGGGGCTGGGCTCACCTCGTTTGTCTGACAGTGCTAAACAAAAGGTGGCAATTATACAGGAATCCCAACCAGATTCAGAGGGATTTTTGTTGTGTTGGTTTTTTTTTTCCACTAGTAATTTTAATGCTGCAATGATTTTACTGCCTGTGAAATCGGATTTCACTTAATGGGCTTGTCTTAACCCTAGTGAGCAGGAAGATGTGGTTGCAGCTTGAGATAAAATTCCCTGTAGTTTAACTCAGCTCACCAGTTCCGCTGGAAAGTGAGGAATTGTCTCATGTCACCAGGAAATCTTTTCACATCTGAAATATACTGTTTTGCTAGAGAAGACGAGCCAAATTTGTCCCAGGAACGCTGCTTTCCCGCTGTCCTTATTGCTTTTAGAGGTGTTTTTATTGACACAATACCTGCTGTTATCTCTCATTTGGAAGTTAGAAAAGCAGAGAGTTAGAAAAGCTGGGATTTCCTGGAGCTGTGCTGCTGCCGAGCTGGAGCTCAGGAGGTTTATTGCAGCTCACACGCAGAAGGGCATTAGAGGAGTCCAATGTGGAGAATCAGAACCTGCCCGCTCCAAACAGTCACCTGTGTTAACATGAATAATTTGGGGCAATATTTCACCCTGACTTTGGCCAACAGACTTGGTGTTTGCAGTGGGGTTGCTATTTCTTTAATGCTATGTTTATAGTCTTCACCACCCTGACTTTGGCCAACAGACTTGGTGTTGCTATTGGTGTAGCAGTGGGGTTGCTATTTCTTTAGTGCTATGTTTATAGTCTTCATAGTAAATACATTTCACTGAATTTCACTGAATTTCAGAGTTGGAAGGGACCATAGAGATCATCTAGTCCAACTCCCCTGCTGAAGCAGGATTGCCTAGAGCTAGAGCATGTTACTCAGGTCTGCATCCAGGCAGGTCATTACAAGTGTTAATTCAAGATTTTGAAAAACATGCTCAATAAAGACTGGGTTTGGTGGCAGCATTTTTACAGCTCTCTCCCAGCTGGAATTACCCCATGTTTGCAAAACCAGCGCTCTCGATCTTTGACTCCGTTTCCAGGGTGTCGATGGTGACCATCACTCTGTGGTATATTTATGGAAAATCTATGCAAATCACTACATCTGAAAGAGAATTAGCTAAAATGGGAAAGGTATTAAAATCCTGTAGAAAAGGCAAGGCTTGATTCTGGTGGATTTGATAAAAAGAAACCTTAGATGAGCAGTTACTGTCTGCATCGAAGTTACTTTATTGTGTGTACCTTTTAATAGAAGTTATATATCTTTTTAATATGACATTGGCACTCTGGCCACCCGCAACTCGCACAATACAGAGAGATGTGCATTAAAGAGCTTCTAATTGAAAGAAGATTGATACAGGATACTCTAAAATTAACATAATGTTAAGTAGATTGATGTTTTTCCTGAGGGCAGCATGGGAGAAGTGAGCCTCCATGGGGGTTACTGGGTGTCTTTACCTTGCAAGCCACAAGAATGAGTAATTCGATGGAGAAAAAGCTCATGTGGAACACAAAGCCCGCAAGAGGAAGTAATTAAACTAAATCGACTGTGGCTTCCAAATGAAGATCTAGAGTCTGCCAGGAATGATGAGTTTTCATAGCGTGCTGCTTTGTTTTTCCATCCCATTAGCACTCGCTGAACGAGCGGCACAAGCTCTTGTCCAGGCAGCGGGAAGACGCCAAGGACCTGAAGGAGAACCTCGACCGGAGGGAAAGAGTGGTCTCTGGGATCCTCACCAAATACCTGACCCAGCAGCAGCTCCAGGACTACCGGCGCTTCGTTCAGGACAAGACCTCCTTGTTGATCGAGCAGAAGGACCTCGAAGAGCAGATTAAATTTTTCGAAGAACAGTTAGAAAATCTTGAGAAAAGCCTCCCCCTCTAATCGCCGCCGACAGCCCGTCCGTTTGCACACACCGTAATTCGGGACGTTTCCTGGAAATCCCCAGGTGCCAGGGTTGGTGAATCCCATCGATCCTGTCCGTGCCACACTATCCACAAGTGCTGAGATGCTCCGGGGATGCTCTGGGCACACGCTGGACTTGCCTTCCCCTTGGGACAGCCCAACTGACAACACCTTGCATAGGTAGCAAACCATGTTTTGGAAGTGACTGATGGGATGTGTTGCTCCTATTAACTTGGCATGTATTTCCCCTTCTTGTTGTCTGTCCATCTGTTTCCAGATTGACATAATCCCAATAAAAGAACCACACAAATATTTTCCTCTTGTGGGTGGGCTGAGTGTTTGAAATGAAAAATGATGTGGGTGTTCAAATTTGAATTGGAGATTGCACAAAGCCATAGGAAATGTTATGGACCATTTCAGCGAAACTCCTCGTTCCTAGTGTTTATATGTGTGACACAGTAAAAATACACTGTAATGGAAGAAAATAATTATTTCCTTTCTTGGCAGTTGCCATCCATGAGTGTCTCCTGGCTCTGCATCATCCCGGCAGGCTGTTCCGTAGCGAGTCTTAGGAGGTCAGAAAAAAAATGATGGTCCTCGTTGATGTTAAAAAGAGCCGATGAGTGATGAAGGCAGCTTAAATGAACACTTTTGGGAATGATAAACTCTGAATTTATTCCTGCACAGTCATTTGCAAAGTCCTCGCTATGCTTTCAAAGTGTTTATTTTTCAAGCAGCACCTTTGGGGGTTTGTTTTTAGGCAGTTTCCAGCTGTCAGCGTGCACAAGGAGGTGCTGAAGGTTGAGGGGAGGTGCCGGGCAGGTGGGGCGAGGGGAGGAAATTACTTGGTTTCAATGAGGCTTTATATAAACCCCTTGGCAAAAATCTTTTAAGCTAATGTTGTGTGTTGAGCCAAACCAGGGGTGTTGCTGTATTTAAAATTTGAGTGTCTTGTGTTTGTTTAAGTGTTCAGCGAGAGGAATATTCCATTTGAGCTGTGCACCTAGACCATGAATAAGGAGGCCACTAATCAAACTCGGGTTTCTTTCACGGGCAGAGTAGATGTTTGTTTTCCCATGAGGTTGAGCTTTACCAAGAAGTGTTTCACTAGTGGTGTGTGTCCTGCCTACGGTGGGTTGTACCCAAAGAGGTACAGGAGTGAGTTGAGAAGCAGCCTGGGAGTTACAGCGCGGTGCAATAACGCCCAAAGGGCTTGCCAGCCTCCGAGGCTGTCGTCAGAATGGGTGAGTGGGTCACCAGGTGCTCTCCAGGCTCCAACAAAGCCGCCTTGTTCTGTTGGGAGTTTGCATTTTCAGGCAGAAGTGCCCGTATCGTTGGCCCTGCCCACATTTGAAGAGAAACCACTCTGTACCTGGTGTCATGCTGCCGAGACTCGGCGGCAGGAGTCAGTTTTATGATGTCTGCCAACTCTCGGTAAATAGAGTGGCAATAACGTCTGCAAATGGCTGGTCTGTAGCAAAGAGTAGTTTGGTGAATATTAACATTTTGTTCCAATGATCTGAACAAAACAGATGGTGCTTAATGCTGAAAACACTATTTCACTGGACACAAGTAGCTCCAGGAGCGCGGGGACCAAGCTGCTGTGTCTTCTGTGGTCATTGCCTTAATCCGTGGGGGAAAATGTTGTAGTTCCTGTGAGTGGCTCTGCTCAGGGGGTCTCAAAAGGCCATAAACACAGGTTTTTAGTATGGAAATCTGAAAGCTGCCTTTTGAAAATGGTCTTTAAAATAACACATGATGCTAAGGGAATAGATGGAGAATTAAAAAAATATGTTAAATGAGCTGTTTGCATTATTTGAGAAAACTGGCTTGAAGATGCACTCACAGGAAGGTGACATCTGCGTCCTCCAGGTGATCTTGTTTTCATATCAGTTTGTTGTTTCCTTAACATTCTTTCTCTGAAGCAGAAGGTGCAAAATGAGCTTGTTCGTGGGGCTCGTGGGACACTGTCCCCGTGAGAGAGACCTGGAACCCTCCTGCACACGGGGAGCGTCCCGCTCCGCTCCGCTGTAGCTTGAGAAGCACGGACTGAAGTCACACAATGGTTTAAGTACCCGCTTTTGAGTCCTATTTGGGGGGAAAAAAAAAAGGCGTTGCCTTTTTCTTAAGGTTTAGTAGTTAAAGCGCTAAATACCTCCCCCTACCAATAACCATTGCTTATGTTTTTCCCAGCTTCAGGCCCTGCAGTGTAGCTTTATTCTGGAGAATAACATGAGAATATGTCGTACTCCATTGGGCTGGAAATGGCAGTGACTGGTGGGCTTCCTGGGAGGCAAATCTTGTGAATTTAAGGATTATGGAAATAATATAATACCACTTAATACCACTGCTCACAAGCCTTTCATTGGTGACTTCTGCAGCGATGACACCAAGTTGCCTCTGCCCAGTGAGCGTTAGACCTGGGGAACCTTAAAGCTCTCTTCCTCCCAAAGCTGGTGGCTGGGAGGGGAACCATGGGAGGAGGGGGAAGGGTTTTAAGCTGAAAAACAGGAGATTGAACTGAGCTGTGGGGAAGAACTTGTTTGGTGTGAGGGTGGTGAGAGCCTGGCCCAGGTTGGCCAGAGAAGCTGTGGCTGCCCCATCCCTGGAGGGGTTCAAGGGCAGGTTGGAGGGGGCTTGGAGCAACCTGGGCTGGTGGGAGGTGTCCGGGGGTGGCACTGGGGGGGCTTTAAGTTCCCTTCCAACCCAAACCAGTCCATGATTCTGTGCTGATTCTATGATTCCAGGGGCTTCAGGGCCTTGGTGATCCACCAGCGCTGAGACCTGCTGAGCTGCTTCTCCTGCAAACAAAGTCAGGTGTGTGTGAGCTGGGGGAATGTAAGGAATGCAGGAGCTCCCTGCCCCTCTGGGGAGAGCAGGCAGGAAATCCCCAGCAGGACAGGAACACTTGGGGATCTCCTGTTGCAGCCTGCACAGCTAATTCTTTCTTAACATCCCAGGTGGAAGGTAACGTGACCCCAGCGCCGTGAGGGAACTGCTATCGGAGACCTGTGGCCAGGCCTCGGGTGAATTAATTGCGGCTACATCCAGGAGAATGCAAATGAACAGTGGGAGGAGAAGGAAGGAGGTGGAACAGGCAAAATGCAAGAACCTGGGTCTCCCCGTGGGGTGATGCCGTGGGAGGCTGGTGGGATTCCAGGAGCCATCTCTGGGACTCCTGTGGCGTCCACGCACCAGCAGCCTGGGGGAGGAAGCTGCAGCAGCTTCTGTTCTGCTGAGCAAAAGCAGGTGGGCCTGATTTCGGGGTAAAGATACCTTTTATTGCCTAGTGCCAGAGGGATGAGCAAGTGCTGCAGGTGTGGGCCAGAGCCAGTGGCCGGTGGAAGCCGAGTGGGCTCCGATTGCCGCCTCCCTGACAGCGCCTTGGCAGCAGCCGCCGGGATTTCAGACGGAGCAGCTCATTTAGGATTTGATTTAACACCCACTGCAGCGTGTGGGAGTCACGGCTGGATCAGGAGCTGCTGCTTCAGCCTCTCAGGCACTAAATTGAAGGATTTTTAATGTTTCTTTTTAATCCCAAGCCTCGTTTTCTTCACTAGGGCGTTCTGCTCCGGGACTTCTGCATGTGGAGCTAATTAAGGAATGGAGGGGCGCAGGGGTTAATGCAAATGTGCTCTGCAAAAGGGCTGTTTGGCGCTTGCGAGAGCTGCGTTTAATAAGTAGAAGGATGTTCTCTCTGCTTTGGGAATTCATGGCAACCATCTGAATAAAATTTTAAAAATAAACCCAGAGCAGCATTGCAAAGCTAATCTTCTGCGCCTGCAGGGAGCCCACGTTCACATTAAAGAATAATCAGGCTGTAGGAACCGGGCAACCTCGGGGCGTCACAAAACGCACTCGGGAAGCAGCACATGAATTTCACGGCTGAACAGGGAGAGGCATCGCAGGGTATCGGAGCCACTGAAACGTCACATGAGCCTTGAAGCTGAGTCATCTCCTCGATAAATCCACGGAGGGAAAATATGGGCTGAACTGATAGTCTTGATTTAGAGAATAAGAGACACTTCTAAAAATGTGTGTGAAGAGGCACATTTCCAATGGCCTTCAGCCCGCGATGAGAGAACAAGAACATCCCAAAATACCTCAAGAAGGAACCACTTGTGAAGGTCCCTCCCGAGATCCCTGCCCGGGGGCAGCTCCTGGTGGGATGGCTGGTGGCTCCTGGGTCCAGCTGCCCCTTCTTGAGCACCAGGTCAGTGTCACCCCCTGTCACAGCAGGAAGCACGGGCTGGTGGTAGGAGAAAAAGAGGTTTGAGTGATTCTCAGGGCTTGTGCACTTGGGTGTTGGGTTTTATTGAGTGAAAACACGGGTTATTTGGTTCAGGTCAGGTCCCTGCTGCACTTCTCACTTGGGGTTTGTCCCCTCGTCTGGAGGGTCTCGAGGTGATGGGGATGGAGGTGGAGGAAGGAAGTGGGATGAAAGGATTTCCTCCTGGGAAACGGTGGTTTGGCTTTGGCTGGAAACTCGTGCTCTCAGATGAAGAAAAAGACTAATGCTCCACCTGGGGCAGACACAGAGCAAAGGCCTTCCCAGGCAGGGGAGCTGAACGCTGCCAGCAGCATTTCTGTTGTGCACATCCGTAGTTTTATCTTCACAGAAAGTGAAGAAAACTTAATAAAGTTGTGCCAATATCAACAGTACGGATCTATTTTGCCTGGGCTCAGAGGCAGATTATTGTTTCAGTTTAAGATAGAAGCTTTTTTTCATCACAGTACTAATTAAAAAAACCCACAACTGAATGTGCGGAGCTGGAAGGACTCAGATTTTCCAGGCTGTGACAAGCAAGCCCTGCAGGGGCAGAGGCAGCACAGCTCTGCCTGCCCAGGGTGGCTGTGCCCAGGCTGGAGCTTTGGAGCTTTCCCAGCCTGGCCGGGGTGGTGCTGGTCCAGGCAGTGTCTTCTCCTGCTGGTCTCATTGAGGATTGTGATAAAAGGGGGGCCACAGAGATGCTGGGAGGGCTGGAGCCCCTCTACTGAGAGGTGGGGCTGGGAGAGTTGGGGAGGAGAGAAGGCTTCGGGGAGACCTTCCAGCCCCTTCCAGTCCCTCAAGGGGCTCCAGGAAAGCTGGGGAGGGACTCTGGATGAGGGAGGGGAGCCCTAGGAGGAGGGGGAAGGGTTTGACCCTGCAAGAGGGGAGATGGAGCTGAGCTGTGGGGAAGAACTTGTTTGGTGTGAGGGTGGTGAGAGCCTGGCCCAGGTTGGCCAGAGAAGCTGTGGCTGCCCCATCCCTGGAGGGGTTCAAGGGCAGGTTGGAGGGGGCTTGGAGCAACCTGGTGTGGTGGGAGGTGTCCCTGCCCAGGGCAGGGGGTGGCACTGGGGGGACTTTAAGGTCCCTTCAAACCCAAACCATCCTGTGATTCTATGAAAACAAGCAGGACAGAGCGTAACACCGTGGGCAGGGTCCAAGGGCAGCGTTATCACCACACGGGCCCTTTGCATCGGTGCTTTGTTCCAGGCTGATAAAGCAGAGGGAGGAGGACTCCGGGCTGGGCCCAGAGGAAGGATGCTGCGGCGGCGGCTGATTCGAACAGGATGAGGAGACTGTGTGAAACGAGGGGTGCGAGGGGGGAGGGGAGGGACTCTGGATGAGGGAGGGGAGCCCTAGGAGGAGGGGGAAGGGTTTGACCCTGCAAGAGGGGAGATGGAGCTGAGCTGTGGGGAAGAACTTGTTTGGTGTGAGGGTGGTGAGAGCCTGGCCCAGGTTGGCCAGAGAAGCTGTGGCTGCCCCATCCCTGGAGGGGTTCAAGGGCAGGTTGGAGGGGGCTTGGAGCAACCTGGTGTGGTGGGAGGTGTCCCTGCCCAGGGCAGGGGGTGGCACTGGGGGGACTTTAAGGTCCCTTCAAACCCAAACCATCCTGTGATTCTATGAAAACAAGCAGGACAGAGCGTAACACCGTGGGCAGGGTCCAAGGGCAGCGTTATCACCCCCACGGGCCCTTTGCATCGGTGCTTTGTTCCAGGCTGATAAAGCAGAGGGAGGAGGACTCCGGGCTGGGCCCAGAGGAAGGATGCTGCGGCGGCGGCTGATTCGAACAGGATGAGGAGACTGTGTGAAATGAGGGGTGCGACGGGGGAGCGGGGAGAGAAGTGGTTGGGTGCAGCTCCGGCTGCGTGTCCGGTGTGTTTTCGGAGGAGCTGCCAAAGCTGGGGGCAGAGGAAAGGCTGTTTTTACTGCTTTTTTTACTGCTGCAGTAAATCCTGTCCCAGCCCCCGAGCTGGGGGGATACACTCACACTGGCCAGAAAATCTCCTCTGTTTTACTCCACTTGAGGAATGGTGTGAGTTCTACACAGAGAAACAGTATTTCCTGTGTATAATATGCACTTCTACTAGAAAGGTTTGTTGATACATAATTACTAAAGAATTCTTTGCAGTGAAATCAGGGGTTTTTTTCTTTTATTTTGGTGAGTTCTACACAGAGAAACAGTATTTCCTATGTATAATCCTCATTTCTACCAGAAAGGTTTGTTGATACATAATTACCAAAGAATTCTTTGCAGTGAAATCAGTTGGGTTTTTTTCTTTTATTTTAATGTCCCTTCCAGGGGCAGCAAGTAGGACCAGACCCCCTTCTGATGGGGGCTTCTGCAGCACGTCTGGTTTAGAAATCTTTGCAGGTGTCACAGTGTTGATGAGTGGAATGAGTTTGGTGAGAGCAGTTTATCTGTCCCTAAATGCTTCTTTTGAACTAGCCTGGATTATTTGGCGAGGACACTCTTACTGCTGGCAGCTCCATCACCATCAGGAAGGGTCTCCTGATGGGACTCTTCCAGTGGTTCACTCCAAAAGGGCAGTAGGTGACCAGCCACCGTTGTCCAACAACCAGCCATTGGTGATGACTCAGTTCAGGGCAGCGTAAGGGCTGGATGTGCTTCATCACTTGCTTTGTCTCATAAATTACTGAAATAAAGCTTGGAACCAGAGTAGAAAAATGGAAGTTCCTCATTACTACGCGGAGGGTTTGATCTGCTCCGTCCCAGTTCTGCCCCTGCAGCCAACAAACGCGGTGCTGTTCGTGCCCAGGCTCCGTGCTGGCCAAGTCCTTGTTAACAACAACTTCATTTGGGGGGTCCCACATTAGGACAAATCACTGGAAAGAGCAAAAACTGCCACGTTGCCATTTTACTCAGATTAAAATGCAAATCAGGAGGCAAATGCATCCAAGGAATGTAGGTCACAGTGGAAACATGCGGAGCAAGAGGAGAAGGGATGAGCTGTGGGGAGTTAGGGGAGAGTCCCCAAAGGCCTCCTCTGCCTTCAGCTGGTCTCTTGGAGATACTCTGTGTCTCTTCTGCTGGACCTTGGCTTTGTGATGGACCCGAAATCCATCAGGTTGAATCTCTTTTGTGGTGCAGGAGCAGTGTTTCCTGGGGCTTCCGTAGAACAGGTCCTTCTCTGTGGGGCTGGCGAGGGAACAGGGATGGCCAAAAACCCCTGTTTGAGGAGGAGCAGGATGGTGCTGCCACTTGCTGCTCCAAGAGTCGCATCCAGGAGGAAAAGACTGTCCCCTTGCACAGAATCGTGGCTCAAAGCTTGTTTGCCGACCTCTTGGGTGCCAGTTGTTGAGCTGATCCACCTCCGAACAAAACGTGCTGAGGAACGGGTGAGCCCAGTTATCTTTGGAAAGAGGGATGAGCCAGGGTCAGACAAACATGGGCTTTGCTGAGCTCTGGTGCCACTGAGCTAAAACCTGAGCGGGTTTTATTTGTGTAGGCACCGAGCTGAGCATGCAGCATTCACAGGTTGGGGATGATGCTGCTCGTGCTGCCTACGAGTCTAAAAAATTATCTGGGTTTCTGTTTGGATTACCAATCCAAACTAACTGAGTGCTTTAAAGAACTGACCAGGGTGATTATCTCCATTTTATAGCAGGAAAACCGAGACATGGCAAATAGGCAGGAAAAACACAGCCCTGAGCTGCCAAATCCCAGTCCTGTGCTTTATCTGCACCTCCCGTCTGCAGCCCAGCCCTGCTGCCAGCCGTCCCCACCACACCAGCCATCTCCAGGAGGCAGGGAACGAGGTCTTTTTGGTTTTATCATCTCCTGCCATCAGCTCTGATGGTGCAGAAGGCAGCTCCCGGCTCTGGGCTGGGCCAGAGGTTCAAAAGGCTGCTTGCCCAGCCCGTGGCACACAGCCTCTGCCCCGGGCCAGCAGCACCAGGAGCCACAGCCCTCTCTCACTTGTGAGAGCATCCTGGCTCACCTTCACAGCTCTCAGTCATTCGGGTGAAAATCCTGCTGCCTTCAGCCAGATTTGGCTGAAATGAAGTCAAAGAGTGAAATGAAGGAGGATCTGTGAAGCTGAGGGATTTGTAAAGCAGTCCCAGCCTCAGTCTCTGCCAGGAAAGATCGTCCCAGGGCGTCCCTTCCACAGTGCAAATGGCACCACAGGGAAGCAAAGCCCAGCGAGGCCGACGGACTGGTTTGACTTCAAACTCCAGGAGATACACACGTCTTTGGTAAGACTGAAGGAGCTCATTCTCAACACCTCTGGGTATTTGTTTGCACCTGAACTCGTGCGGCACTGGGTACACTAACCACGGCCTGCCTAAATCCTATCTTTTCCTTCATCTGCTCGAGGAGGAGGAGGAACAATGAGCTGAGTCACGGCAAAGGCTCTGGTTGGCAGAGCCTGTCCCACCCCACCCACGGCACCGACCTCGCAGTGTCCAACCGCCCGGCACCTCCCCGGGGAGCGCCGGCACCAACCGGGCATTTTTCTGGCTCCTGGCGGTGATGCCTCGGGGGAAGGAGCAGCACAGCATTTCCTCGATGAGCCGTGTTGCAATGGAGGAGTCTTATCTCAGCCCTGACTCCTGGCTTTGACACAGCAACACAGGAGCAACGAAACCTCCTCCCGACTGGCCTCATGGCGAAGGCAGAACCACACTTTGCAGGTCGGTCGGTTGGTTTTTTTAAACAGAAAACACTCCATCTTGGGACCTTGCCTCCGACTCAAGGAGGTTTTACTCAGATTTATCACTAAAAATCCACGTATGAAGCACATATCCACAACTCATGAACAAAGTTCCCAGTAAGGCTGAGTCAAACTGGAGAGTGTTTCCAATTTGCACAGAAACAGAACGCTTTTACCAGGCAACCTCAGCCCTGCCAGCGCCTCAGTGTAACACAAACGCACACGCAGGCTCCTCTGGTTTCAGAAAATACAGAAAAAAAGAGTGTTTAATGTCAATAAACTCAGAAATATTTTTTTAAACAGAGCAACAGACAGTTTTTTCCCCTGGAACTCTGCACGTGGACAGAGTGCAGCACGAACCCGGGGTTCAAGTGGCTGCTGGTCGATGGTCACACCAACGGAGCAAAGAGGATTTTTTTTTTTTTTTTAAACCCTACTCCAGATATAGAAGTCATGAGGTGCTCGATCATTAACGTTTGCTTAACAACTTAATTAGTTCAATACGGAAGCAGCCCGGGTGCAGAATAATCCACTCTCTTCTGGGAGCAGGTGGCTCAGACCCCTCCGTGGTGGCTGATGACGCTCACACGAATGTCACCAACTCCAGGGAGAAGGTTTTAGAGTAAGAGAGGGCAGTGCCTGCCCCTTCAGCGTGGTCCTACAGCATTCCGTGCCCAGCCTTTGGGAGAAGCCAATTACAGCCAATTAGAAACACTAGGCTTAATTCAAGGCTGAAAAAAACAAACATTCCTGAAGTCGGTGGCTTGGAAAGAAAAGCAAAGCAGGCAAACAAGCGTTTGAGCACGGAAACCTCCACGCTGGACGGGGCTGAACAGCAGAGCCAGGGCAGCATCACCAGCCCCTTCCTCCCCTCGGAATCCCACGGGTGGTTTCCTTACATTTTGGGAGAAAAAACGTGATTGTTTAGCAGCCCGGCCCCAGGAGTTGGGCAGTTCCTGTTCTTAGCTCTGCCTTTTCATATCATTATTTTTTTAATTACTATTTGGTTAATCTCACTGCAAATGCATTACCTAACCTGCAGTTAGCATGCTTTTTGGAGCTACGTGTAGTTCTATATATAGAACAATTATGTTTATAATGTAAAAGAAGAAGAGGAGTTAGTTTTAGGTCAGTGATTCATGCTGTTGAGATAAACAGTGCTTTAAGGGGTCATGCAGACATTCTATCATGAAACACCTAATGTAACATAAAGCCTGATTTTTACAAATATTTATTGTAAATAGGTCAAAATCAAAGGCCAAGTTTTAAATAAAAAGAAGCAGACATACAAGCCCAACTTTGTTTCCAGTTGGCTACTCAGAAACTCTGCAGGATCCAGTTCTCAGGTTTTCAGTTCAGTTTTTCCACTATCAAGTATCAACAAGGCTTTTACTCAGATTAAGAGATTGAACTATAGTTAAGTTTAAATGTTCACAGTATCATCAAGATGTGTGGCCGGTACCACCTGAACAAAATGCCTCTCAGGAAGAGGAAGAAGAATTTAAAATGCTAACCTAGCTTTCAGACTGAGGTAGACAGGTCACGATTTGAGTGCTGAGGGTTGGGGTTTGGTGTTTTTTTTTTTTTAAACCTGTTCATCTAATGAAACGCTTTAGGCAACAGTGGAGATTGTTATGTTAGTATTTCTGATAGCGAGAAGCTTTGTTTTGAAAATAGTTGAGTACACAATTTTTTTTTTAAATAGAAATATTCCTCTTCTGTTACCAAAATAATCAGAAACGTCATAGAAAACTATGCATCTTTCCTCGAATAATTTAAGCCTGCTCTAGAACAAGCCATGTTAAAGCAGCCAGCTACCAGCTTGCTGTTCACAGTGTAGAATATGCCATCCTTTACCTTACTTTTGCCCTCCGGACGAGGAACACAGATCAAGAAGGCTGTACCTTAAGCATTTGAACCTGTCTACGTGCACAGAGGTTTAGTTTTTTCAAGCATTGGGTGTAAAGTCTGCGGTCTCCACCAACACAGCGGCGTGACGGGCCGTGCAGCAGTCACAACACTCCCTTTCCACAGGTGTCTGTGAGCTGGGTTTCGTCCAGTGGCCTTTGGAGCCAGACTCATCGCTGATTCAGTTGAACATCCAAGAAGACAGACACGGAGAGAAGAAATCCAAGCTGCTTCTGCCAGAGAAAAATCCAGACCCCAGTCGCGTTATTAAACAATTCTGATCCCAGGAAGGCAGAGGCTAGTGGCCAAAGAACAGCTCAGAAACGGGCCTGCGTTTCACGACAACCTCCTCTTCCTCCTCCTCCGTTACCTCGGAGAGGGAGGAATATGAAGGGAAGCCCCCTCTGGTCTTTGGCTTTCTCCTCGGGCCCGTAGTGGCAGCCAGGAGCTTGTTTAAGGACGAGGGCTTCCTTAAACCTTTGGTGAGATCGTAGAAAGCCATGTCATCGGATATGACCCCCAGAAACGTGCTCGTGGAGCTCAAGATGGAAGCCGCGAGCTTCGTGCTCTTCTTGATGGGCACGGAGGGCTCGGTGCTGTGGGACAGGCTGGGGTCCCCCAGCAAGCGCCGGACCGCCGAGGAGGTCCCTTCCTTTAAGTACTGGTGCGGCTTCTTCCCACTGTAGTCCCTCAGGTCGGTCTTGGCGTGGTAGCTGTAGACCAGCATGGTGATGATCTTCTCCTGGCCGTGCATGGCGGCCAAGTGGAGCGCCGTGTAGCCGCCGTGCGACCTGGCGTCCACGTTGACGCGGGCTCCCCCCTTCTCGGCCGCTCGGATGATGTTGGTCACCATGTCGCAGTTGCCGCTCTTGGCGGCCCAGTGCAGGGCGGTGAAGCCCGAGATGAAGTCCCTGCGGGCCGCCAGGCTGGCGTCGCCCAGCAGAAGCCCGTGGAGCTGCTGGGTCCACTGCCCGCCGGCCGCCATCACCAGCCACTGGTGCTCGGCCTCCTCCAGCGGCACCGCCGCCAAGCGGCCCCGCCGCCACTGTCTCCTCGCTGGCCCGGTGGTTCTTGGGCCCCCGACGCAGGCCGGGCGAGCGGGACCCGGCCGCCTCCTCCTCCGGGGGTGACAAGGGGGACGCCGGCTCCTCAGGCGGCCCCGGGGCGGTGGCGGGGGCGGGGGGCGGCACGCA